TATCTATCTATCTATCTATCTATCTATCTATCTATCTATCTATCTATGCATCCATCCATCCAACCAAGATATCTATATCTATCTATATATCATTTCTATTTCTTTTTTTCTTTCTTTCTTTCTATCTGTCTGTCTGTCTGTCCGTCCGTCCGTCCATCCATCCAAGATATCTATATCTACAGTCTGTCTATCTATCTATCTATCTGTCTGTCTGTCTGTCTGTCTGTCTGTCTGTCTGTAGTGGCTCAGCGGCTAAGACGCTGAGCTTGTCGATCAGAAAGGTTGGCAGTTCAGCAGTTCGAATCCTTAGCACCACGTAACGGAGTAAGCTCCCATTACTTGGTCCATCTTCTGCCAACCTAGCAGTTTGAAAGCACGTGAAAATGCAAGTAAAATATACCTTCCTTTGGTGAGAAGGTAACAGCATTCCATGTGCCTTCGGCGTTTAGTCCTGCTGGCCACATGACCACGGAGACGTCTTTGGACAGCGCTGGCTCTTCGGCTTTGTAACGGAGATGAGCACCGCCCCTTAGAGCCGGAAATGACTAGCACAGATGTGCGAGGGGAACCTTTACCTCTCTCTCTCTCTCTCTCTCTCTCTATCTATCTATCTATCTATCTATCTATCTCTATCTATCTATCTATCTATCTATCTATCTATCTATCTATCTATCGAGTGCATTGAGCAATAGTTCTATTTCAGGTGCTGTTTTTCCATATACCTTCAGATTATCCATGTAAAGGAGGGGGTAGTTTTGTATTTGATAGCCATGGCCTGACTTGCTCAGTATTGTTGACAGAGGATTCAGTGCAATGACAAACAGTAGCAATAGAGCGAGTCTCCTTGAAAGATTCCTCTCTTGATATTAACTTCCCTTAATCTATCACCATTCACCAGCAACCATGTCTTCTACTGCACCATTAATCTTTGCCCAAAGCTTCTGATGTTTCTACTGACTCCTGTTACTTCTAGGCACTTGATTATCCAACCATGTGGCAGGAATGGAATGCCTCCTTGTAATCAATCCAAGCTACGTTTAAGTTGGTCTTCCTTCTTTCCTTCTCTTGCAGTTTTTCAAAACTGTCTTGTCAACCAGGAGCTGATCTTTTGTTCCTCTGCTATTTGCAAGGTTTCCTTTCTGCTCAAGTGGAAAGAGCTTATTTTCAACTAGAAGCCGTTGCACTGCATCTTAGCCAGGTCATGTTGCAATTTGAAAGTTGTTGGTAAGCAAGTTAATTGACTTGCACTTTCTTAGAGATCTTCTAATCCAACCCTCTGCCCAAGGAAGGAGTCCTTATACCATCCCAGACAAATGGATGTCCCATCTTTTCTTGAAAACCTCCAGCGAGGTTCATTTTGTTCGATCTTTCATTATCAGGTATGTTTTGCCAGATGTTAATTGATCTTCAATTTCACCCCCCTTGCTGTATGTTGTTAATCTCACAGCCAATGAGGAGGTGCAAGACCAATCAGGTGTTCCAACCAAAAACCATGCAATCCATTTTACCAGGCATAGATTTTGGCCTTCCATGCCCTTTTCGCCACCTTTTCTGATGTTAACCACAAGTTCTTTCCGTTCAAGTTATTTTTTATTCTCATCCATCGCCTTTATCCAAGCTGCAGTCTTGGTGTATTTCTTTGGGCTGTTGCATAGCTGGGCCCAGGACTCTACTGTTTCTTCTTTGTCAGGGGTTGACTGGTTCACTGGAGATTCTGCCTGTAGCGTGCAGTTGGAATTTGTGATGGTTGTTACTGTTGTTGTTATTGGGTTAATTTTCAGTTCGATTCACAATCTCAGACTGGTAAAAACGTATCAGTTCAAGTCCTAACCAAGGACCTAAGAGCCGTCTAAATATATAGGCGGTTCTGAGCAGAGTGTTTTTTTGCAACCTCAGAATATTCTAATAAGTTCAAAATTTCCATCTATCTTGGCAACACTTTGGGAATTGCTCCAGGGCTTCCTATTACTATTGGTACAATCATTGATTTCTTCCTCCACAATCACCCAACTTCCATTTGCAAGCCACATTATTTCCTTATTTTTCCTAGCTGTTTTTCTTCATGGTTATTATTGTTATTGTTTAAGATTTAATCTTCAATTTGATTCACAGTCTGGGACTAGTAAAAGCTTAACAGTTCAAATCCTAACCAAGGACCTAAGAGCTGTTAAGGTAACTTCTGAGTATATAGGCGTTATTATTGTTGTTCTTGCTGTTCACAATCTGTAATTGTTAACGGTTACAAGTTGTAACCTTCAACCTCAAATAATAACCTTCAAGTTGTGTGTGTGTGTGTGTATCTTTAGACAGGCATCATTTTGCTGCTTCTCTATCTAGTAGTTTTCCATAAAGGTCACCTTTTTGCTGATTCATTTTATCTTGTATTCTGTTATCGTGAGAAATGTAATGAGCTCCAGTCCACCATACCATTCAGTTAGGTGGGGAGAAAAGAGGGATATCGGAATGGCAGGGGCCATTTCCTGGTGCACCTAACTCTCTGCCTCCAGAAAATATCCTTTCTGAGATGTAGAACTTCTGAGCTACATGACTCATACCATTGGCCTGCATATAATCCATCCTGTGTATCAACCTATAGGAGGAGGAGTGGCAGAATCTGGGATCAGTGTTAAAAGAGGGACCAGCCTACAATCCCTATGTAGCCACAAGCGTAGTATGTCCAAACTTCCTTTAGTGCTGTTGACCCTCATCTAATTCCAAGTAGATGCTAATCGTTAGTTGAGGAGATTCTTGTTTGTGCATAGACTTTTAGCAATAAATCAGTTTAATTGGGCCTTATAGTGTGGACCTGGTCTTTTGCGCCTGACACAACCTTAAGTGTCCATCATCTGATACTCTAGCTTGGAGGGAGGCATTTCTAAATATTAACCATGGAGCCATTGACATCCTCGGGTAGCCAGTCTCTTGTCCTCTAATGACTAGTCTACTATCTCATTTCATGCTATATCAAAATAAATAGCATTGGGATTTCTAAGTCTGGCCAAACTCATCATGAGGTTATTGCAACGGGCAATTTGCATCAGTTGGATAATGATATTTGATGCAAGTATGTAAGTTCCATTGATTGGAAGTTGATGCCATGAAGTGCATATCTGGCCTCATCTGTGCCATCCTTTAGCAGAAGCAATACCACTTAGGCTTATATACCGCTTCCCAGTGTTTTGCAGCCCTCTCTAAGCAGTTTACAGAGTCAACACATTGCCCCCAACAACCTGGGTCCTCATTTTACCCGCCTTGGAAGGATGGAAGGCTGAGTCAACCTTGAGCAGGTCAGGATCGAACTGCTGGCGGTCAGCAGAATTAGCCTGCAGTGCTGCATTCTAACCACTGGGCCACTAGGGTCCATCTTTCCTCCCTCCTTCCTTCCCTCTCTCCCTTCCTTTGCACTTAGACTTATATACTGCTTCACAGTGTTTGAACAGTCCTCTCTAAGTGGTTTACAGAGCCAGCCTCTTGCCCCCAACAATCTGAGTCCTCTTTTACTGACCTAGGAAGGATGGAAGGCTGAGTCAACCTTCAGCCTGGTGAGATTTGAACTGCCAAACTGCAGGCAGGCAGCAGAAGTCGCCTGCAGTATTGCACTGCACCACTAGGGCTCATTTAGGTTCCTTTGTGCTTTTGGAGACTCGGCCCTGACTTAGAGATCCCAATGCTGTTTATTCGGATGTACTTTGAAATGAGATAATGGGCTGGGCACTAGAGTGCAAGAGTCTGGTGGCCAAGGGCAGTTCAGTGAATTGGTTAGCATTTAGAAATGCCTTCCTTCCTCCGAGCTAGAGTATCAGATGATGGGCATCGTGATCCAACATTTCTGGGGTGACTACATTGCTAGAAAGTCTTTCTCAACCATGGCAACTTTAAGACGAGTGGGCTTCACTTCCCAGAATTCCCCAGGCAACAGTGTCTCCAGACTCTGTGAAAGTGAATTGGAAAATGAAAAAAGTGTAAAAAAAAATAATCTGTGAAATTAATGACTTTGGATTCTCAACTCTGGAGCTACGCATTCACGTGCATAAAAGCACATTTAATATTTAGGGCACGTGAAGACGTTGGAACACTCAACCTGTGGCAGCTTCAGAATCCCTGTGACTGTGAGTAATGCAAATATATTCCTGAAGGTGCATTTCATAAATGTCATTATGTCCAATTTTGCAAGATGGCGGGAGAGGTATTGCTTTCTTGAGTTTTACCTTGCTCATATAAACACATCTTTCTCCTCCTCCCTCCCCTTTCTCTCTTTGACTCAGATTTACCGGCGTTGCTGGCTGGTGTTTCGGAAATCTTCCAGCAAAGGTCCGCAGAGGTTGGAGAAATACCCAGATGAGAAGTCGGTGTGTTTACGAGGATGCCCAAAGGTGAGCAATCTCTCCAACTTGCTTGACTCCTCTTCAGAGCCAATTTGCAATTTGCCTGCTCCAATTCAGCATCATTGCTTCATTCGGTGACATTCTCATTACCATTCAATGCTTCCCTGGGGCACCATTGTGGTTCATGTGACGGTGCCGGCTGGAAAAACAGACTTGCCCAAGGGAAGCATTGTGGCAAAAATAACTTTGTTTATGTGTTACAAGGAGTGGTCCTTTCCTAATATCCCTTCTCCCTGCCAGTGTATTCTGGCTTCTTCCAAAGCTCTTGTTCCCTTGTCTTGACCACCTGCCTTTGACCCAAACTCCCTTCTGGTGTCCTCAGCCTCCTAGAAAACAGAGACAAGTCCCTAGTCCTTGCCCCATGAGCTTGAAGGTTTGTCTCCAGACTAACCTAGGGTCCTTCTGGCCAAATTGGCACCAGGTTCATTTGACTTAAAAGAGATCCTATAAGGGGTAAGGTTATAAGGGAGAAATATCAATAACCTCAGATACGCAGATGATACCACTCTCGTGGCAGAAAGTGAAGAGGAACTAAAGAGCCTCTTGATGCAGGTGAAGAAGGAGAGTGCAAATGTTGGCTTGAAACTCAACATTAAGAAACCTAAGATCATGGCATCCGGCTCTCTCAATTCCTGGCAAATAGATGGGGAAGAAATTGAGGTAGTGGCAGCTTTTATTTTCCTGGGCTCCAAGATCACCGCAGATGGGGACTGTAGCCAAGAAATTAAAAGACGCTTGCTCCTTGGGAGGAAAGCTATGGCAAATCTAGACAGCATACCAAAAAGCAGAGGCATCTCCCTGCCAACAAAAGGGCGGAGAGCCAGGGCTATGGATTTCCCAGTTGCAACGTACGGCTGTGGAAATTGGACCATAAAGAAGGCTGAGTGCCAAAGAATGGCGGCCATAAAACTCTGGTGCTGGAAAAGATTCCTGCGAGTCCCTTGGACTGCAAGGCAATCCAACCGGTCAGTCCTAGAGGAGATCAACTCTGACTGCTCTTGAGAAGGCCAGATCCTGAAGAGGAAACTCAAAGACTTTGGCCACCCCATGAGAAGGAAGGACTCCCTGGAGAAGAGCCTAATGCTGGGAACAATTGAGGGCAATTGAAGAAGAAGGGGACAGCAGAGAAGGAGGAGGCTGGATGGAGTCGCTGAAGCCGTCGGCCTGAGCTTAAATGGACTCTGGAGGATGGTAGAGGACAGGAAGGCCTGGAGGAACGTTGTCCATGGGGTTGCAATGGGTCGGACACGACTTCGCAACTAACAACAACAACAACAACAAAGTGGTAAAGTAAAATTGCTGCTGGTGGCTTTGAGAGCACAATACCAGGAAGTGAATTGGCACTGCTTTCTGGAACCCAGCCTGATTTCCCATCCAAGTATTAAGTGGATCCATCCATTGCCTGGCTTTTGAAAATCATCCAAGTTCAACTAGATATTCACTCCAAGCTGAGCCATGGCTGGTAACTCTGAAATAATTGATTGTTTTCAAACTCATTCAAATTCTAAAGCTGGAATAGCTGAAAAGGAGGACATCTGGTTCCAGTGGCTTATCCCAGCAAAGCTGTCTATTTCGTTCTGCATCTGTCATCCCTTCTACCCATGCCTTTTGGATGTCCTTGGACAATGGTCCAAGAAGCTAAGCAGAACTCAGGTGCTTATTCTTATCTTTGTGTTGGAACTGGACTAGATCAGGGGCCACCAACCTTTTGGACTTCAGGGACCACTAAATTCATAATTTTAAAGACCACTAATATGACCTGCCTGATGACCGGCTGGGTGGGTGTGGCTAAGTGGTCATGTGACTGGGTGGGCATGTGGCCAACTCGATGTCACTCATGTTGAGGGGTGCCTTGCTGGTCTCTACTCTCCCCTCCCCTCCCAGCCACTCCTCGCCTGCTCGCCCGGGCTCCTTAGGGCCTCAACAGGAAGCAGTTGTTGGAGCTAAGCAGCCCCCACGAGAGAGAAAGAGTTGGCAAAACAATTGGCTCGGTTCAAATTGGATCTGATCAAAAAGGAGATGCTCAGCAAAAGCATCTCACTGAGGACTAGGAGCAGAGGCTTTCCAAGCAGAGGGAAGACCTGTTTGGAGTGCAAGGCCAGGTACCGGCACCTGGAGGCTCAGCGGGCTGATATGGTCAAGCGCTCTGGCGCTTCGCCACCAGCGGCCCTTCCCTCCAGCCTTCGTCCAAAACCCCGGCCCAGGAGGCTGAAGCAGACCCCAATGTCAGAATTTCTGCCCCCCTCCAACCTAGCACAAAAGGACCCCGAAGGGGGAGGCTCTCTGTAGCAACACAAACGTTCATTGCACATATCTGGCCCAGGGGCCCGTAGGTTGAGGACCTCTGATTGAGTGCAAGATTAAAAAATGCAAATAATTTTGCTGCGGCCCACCAACATTTTCTCACAGACCACCAGTGGTCCACGGGCCACCAGTTGGTGACTGCTGGACTAGATGACCTACAAGGTCCCTTCCAACTCTATTAATCTGTAAATCTGAAGTCACGATGGCAGCCAGTCCTAATACATCTGGGGGGGCACCAAGTTAGGGCTGGCTGTGGTAGACTATGCTAGGGAAGGTACGGTACCTCAAAAAAAAAAAAAAAAAGAAGGAGCTTTCATACAGAATCTGGTTTCTCTTCCAGGTCACAGAGATCAGCAATGTGAAATGTATCACGAGGCTGCCCAAGGAGACCAAACGCCAAGCGGTGGCAATTATATTTATGGACGATTCAGCTCGGACGTTCACCTGTGAATCAGGTAGGAGGCTGCTGCTGGAGGGGCGGAATTTCTAGTGGCTTTGGAGCGACGGCTGACAATGCTGGACGGGATTGGGTGGGGTTGCGTTTGAATAACCATGAGCCTGGATGCTGCTTGTTTGCCTTGGCAGAACTGGAAGCCGAGGAATGGTACAAAACGCTGTCCGTGGAATGCCTGGGGGCCCGGCTCAACGACATCAGCCTCGGCGAGCCAGATCTGCTGGCGCCCGGAGTTCAGTGTGAGCAAACAGGTAAGGCAGGTGTCCTTCCCTTGGCCAGTCCACACCTGGGAATCAAGCCCCGAGGATTCGGGGCCAAGTGTACTTTTTGGCTTTCAATGCAGCCTTCAGGCCTTTTTTATCACCAAAGTGTAATTTTCAACCTGCTGTCTAGAAGGGGAAGGTTACAGAAGGAGTGGAGCCATCCTGTTCATTGCATTTAATATCATTGGGGTTGAAGTAAAACGAAATGTGAAGTTTGCTTTTGCCCACCTAAGAGTTTCTTGGGTGCCAGTCTTCCCTCCCCTCTCTCTTACCTGCCTACCTACTTTTGAAGGCCATCCATGGTGTTGCTTCCAGGAAGACCCAGGGTAGTTATTCATCCTAAAAGATTTCTGTCTCCCTGTCTTGGAAGGAGGAAGAGGAGTGGGGATGGAGGGATGGGCTTTGGAAATGACGGAGCTGACTGAAAATTGACAACTCTGGTAGAAGACAATAACAAATAAATTGCTCGTAACTTGGAGACCAATGTTAGGCTTCTTATGAGATAAAGAGAAAAATCAGATTTTGTTTTTGGAATTTGGAGATTAAATCTGATTTCATTAGAGAAATATTGGGGTTAGGGTTAAGGTCAGACTTTTTCAAATCTATCTCTATATAAAAGCGAAATACCCCTCACATATCATCACAAAATCTCCAGAACCGTAAAGCCTACACACATGCAATTTGGCACGTATGTTCCTCTTGGCTTCTAGGGGCTCAGTAAGAAAAGATTTTTCGAAATGACCATCGGAGCTATTAGTATTTCCTATATTATTATTAACTCGCTCTAATGCTAAGGAGTTCTACTCCCCCTCCCCACCTGAAAAGAAATCTCTTCCAAATGCAAAACACCAGCAGAGGAGAAGAGTTTCAGTTTCAGTTTCACAGCAGCAACCAGATTTAGTACTGAACAGTTGAGCTAAGCCACGCCCAGGCTCCTTGCTGTCTCCTTGCTCACACAGCAAATATTGTTTCACTTTCCAAACAGCCCTCAATTCTCTCACACGCTGACAGGACGCTAGCCAAATGAATACCGATGGATGCTGGTAGGCAGAGGCAGAATTTTTTCCCCTTATTTTCCTCCCCCAAAACTAAACCCGACCACATAGTTTCGTAGCAGAGCACGGGTATAGAGCTAGTAAATCAGGGGTGGGCAAACTTTTTGGCTCGGGGGCCTCATTGACTTTTAAAATTTGACAGACGGGCCGCCACCTGGTGTCGAAATGCCTGTCATTACAAGTCAAAATCAAATAAATGCAATCATTCAATCATTCACATCAAACCTTAATTCTGTACCAATCTTCGGCGGGCCGGATTAAAAAGACCAACGGGCCGGATGTGGCCCGCGGGCCGTAGTTTGCCCACCCCTGTAGTAAATGATACTTCATATTATATATTAGATTAAAATTGGGAAAAGAAATACAATTACTGGGTTTTTTTTAGTGTTGACTATTAGTTCTTTATGTTAATTTAACTATTAACTGTTCATTTAAACCAGAAAGAGGTTGTTGTACTGAAAAAAATCTGGAAGTCACATTTGTTTATTTGCTCAGTGTATTTTTTGGACATTTTTAAATCTGTCCTGTTATTTCCCCCTTTTCCCTTTTATGATAATTTGTATTTAAATTTTTGTTTATGAAATATAATAAAGATACTTGTTTAAAAAAGTAGAAAAGAGAAAAGGGGCAGGCAAACAGTAGAACCTACAAACTGCTTTTTAAAAGGTTGTTAGAAGAATTTTGGAAACTGTCCTGGGCAGCGAAGATTGACAAGTCATGGGCATAAATCAAGATATGGGCCTTAACTAAGATTTCCATTGTAGACAAACAAAAAACAAAAAAACCAGACAAAGTGAAAGGGATCAAAATTAAGGCACAACTAATAATGCTTTGGTAAGGCCACACCTGGAATACTGCATCCAGGTTTGGTCCCCATGATGGGAAAAAAGATGTTTAGGCTCTAGAAAGAGTGCAGAGAAGAACAGCAAAGATGATTAGGGGGCTGGAGGCTAAAACATATGAAGAACGGTTGCAGGAACTGGGTTTGTCTAGTTCAATGAAAAAAAGGACTAGAGGTGACATGATAGCACTGGTCCAATATTTGAGGGGCTGCCCCAAAGACGAAGGGGTCAAGCTATTCTCCAAAGCACCTGAAGGCAGGACAAGAAGCAAAGAATGGAAACTAACCAAGGAGAGAAGCAACTTAGAACTAAGGAGAAATTTTCTGGCAGTGAGAACAATTTAACCGGTGGAACATCTTGCCTCCAGAAGCTGTGAATGCTCCAACACTGGAAGTTTTTAAGAAGAGATTCGACAACCATTTGTCTGAAATGGTATAGGGTTTCCTGCTTAGGTGGTGGGTTGGACTAGAAGACCTCCAAGGTCCCTCCTAATTCTGTTATTCTGTTCTGTTCTGTTCTATATTTTCTTTTTTATTTTATTTTCTTTTATTCTATTCCTTATTATATCCCATCCCTATTCTATTCCTATTCTATTCTATTCTATTCTATTCTATTCTATTCTATTCTATTCCATTCCATTCCATTCCATTCCATCCCATCCCCTCCCCTCCCCTCCCCTCCCCTCCCCTCCCAGTCCAGTCCAGTCCAGTCCAGTCCAGTCTAGTCTAGTCTAGTCCAGTCTAGTCTAGTCTAGCAAGGGCTCCCTGATTGTGTGACTGTTTCTTAGTATGATTTGATTGCTTATTGTACCCTATGACTATTATTAAGTGTTGGACCTGATGATTCTTGACTCTTGATGAATGTACCTTATCTTTAATGTACACTGAGAGCATTTGCACCAAGACAAATTCCTTGTGTGTCTAATCACACTTGGCCAATAAAGAATTCTATTCTATTCTATTCTATTCTATTCTATTCTGTTCTATTCTGTTCTGTTCTATTCTATTCTATTCTATTCTATTTCTTCTGTATTCTATTCTATTTTCTATTCTATTCCTATTCTATTCTATTCTATTCTATTCTATTCTATTCCTATTCCTATTCCTATTCCTATTCCTATTCCTATTCCTATTCCTGTCCTGTCCTGTCCTGTCCTGTCCTGTTCTGTTCTGTTCTGTCCTGTTCTGTTCTGTTCCGTTCCGTTCCCTTCTGCTCTGCTCTGCTCTGCTCTGCTCTGTTCATTTGGGCCCCACACTTGGAACCTGGGAAACGAAAGGAGGGAGGATTTCGCTGTTGCCTAGGCCAAGTGTTGGGTGGAAGACAGATTGAGGAGCCTTGGAGGTCCTGAGTCATTTTTGCCTCTCCTTCTGCAGACCGGTTCAACGTCTTCCTCCTGCCCTGCCCCAACCTGGACATCTATGGCGAATGCAAGTTGCAGATCACCCATGAAAACATTTACCTCTGGGACATGCACAATCCCCGGATCAAGCTCGTTTCCTGGCCTTTGTGTTCCCTGCGCCGCTACGGACGAGATGCCACGCGGTTCACCTTTGAAGCTGGCCGGTATGTCTGCAGATGGATCCTCTGAGGATGGGGGAGGGGGATTGGCCCCTGTGTGGCAGTTCTTCCTTTGGCCCAGAAGGCAGGTCGTCTTGAGGGTGTTGGCATGCAGGGTGAAGTAAAGTACTTCCAGGGTGTATGAAAGTATGGATTTCCAAGTCCTACACAGAAGATCTGTAGATGATTTTGAAGCAATCCCTCTTGTGGCTCAAGCCTATTTTACAAGGCTATAAACCAGGGGTCTTCAAACTTGACAGCCTTAAGACTTGTGGACTTCAACTTCCAGAATTCCTCCTCCAGTCATGCTAGCTCAGGAGTTTTGGGAGTTGAAGTCCACAAGTCTGAAACGTGCCAAGTTTGAAGACCCTTGCTATAAAGGAACTGTGGAAAATCCCATGCCTAGGTTGGGACTAGAATTCACAGCCTCCTGGTGATTGGTCCAAAGTCACCTAGGCAGCTTTCCTGGCTAAGGCGGGACTAGACTAGAACTCACTGTCTCCTGGTGATTGGCCAAAAGTCACCCAGCCAGCTTTCATGGCTAAGGCAGGACTAGAATTCACTGTCTCCTGGTGATTGGCCTAAAGTCACTTAGCCAGCTTGTTGAAGTAATTCCCCGTTAGCAGAATGAGCGCATACAGGGAGACGTATTTGAGAGTAGTGTTTGAATAATACACATACAGCGCACAGATACACTGTACAGTAAATGTAGGTTTTTACTTCCAGACAGTTTAAGCAAAGTTCAAGATAAGCAGTCCAAAAGTCATTCACAGGTAAATCAGTCAGTTTTTCAATCCAGGGATAATTCAATAACAAAGTCCAGTGTCAAAAAACAGTTCAGTATCAGACTTACATTAAATCCAGAAATAGCAGTCAATTAGGAAAAATGGAGGAACGGCAACACTTTCCAACAGAAGGAAACAGAGATACTCACTCAGACCCACTCTCTTCTGAGACTAAGACTGAAACAACCCAGGTTTCTGGCTCCATCTTATGGCCGTTTGAGAAAACACACCTAATTACAGTTTTGCATTTTCTTAAAGATACAGTTTTAAAATGTTTATCCTGGTTTATATATTTCTAACCCAAATACCTGTTAGGTGACTTATATTCCTAACACAGCTTTCATTCCTAAAGCAGGACTAGAATTCACTGTCTCCTGCTGATTGGTCCAAAGTCACCAAGCTGCCTTCCATAGCTAAGGTGGACTTGAGCTCACCGTCTCTTGCCTTCTAACCTGGTGCCTTAACCACTAGGCCAAATTCTTCACAGTGTGTTGTAAAGCACATTTCATTTTTTGCCCTCTGCATTCTCCCTTGCTCTCTACCGATATCCATGGACTGGGGGCAGGATGGAACCCTGGATACAGCAGAAACCATGGCCAGGATAGGTTGCTTGTGGTTACGGGCAACCTACCTTTGAGCAAAAGTTAGATACGAAAACATCTCGCTACGCAAAAGAGAGAATGTACAGGCAATCCTCAGCTTGCATCAGAGCCCAAAATTTCTGTTGCTAAGTGAGACATTTGTTAAGTGAGTTTTGCTCCCATTTTACAACCTTTCTTGCCATTGTTGTCAAGTGAATCGCTGCAGTTGTTAAAGTAGTCAAACCGTTGTTAAGTGAATCCAGCTTCCCCATAGATTTGATTGTCAAGTCATAAAAGGTGTGTCAGGATTCCAGCAATCGCCCTAATGAAATCGTGATTCTTGAGCCAAACTTCAACCAACTTCAAAGGATTTATTAGAGGCAACATACTGGCACTGCCCTCTGTGAAGCCAACTCTGGCATACGTAATTTACAGTCCCCTGTGACCCTGTTTCCCCCCTCCCCCCTGGGTGTCTCATAAACCGGATTCTCCAATTGAGCACATTCACGGGCTGGATGTCATCAATCACGTTCTCCAATTAAGGATTTTCCTGGGCAGAAGATTCAGTAGCTTAGTTACAATCTTTGTAAGATAAGTGCGGAATGTACTTTTGCTTCCAAACTGCTGCACTGCTCTTCCAGATTTCCTTCCTCTCCCCACCTTTTCTTTTAGGGCAACTACTAAAACAGGCATAGGAATGTTTTATGAGTCGACAAGGGGAATCATGTGACCCCATGACACTGCAACCATCATAAATACGAGTCAATGGCCCAGTGGCTGAATTTTGATCACGTGACCATGGCGCTATACTACAACAGTCAGTGTGAAAAACTGGCCGTTTTTTTTTTTTCAGTGCTGTTGTCATTTTGAATGGTCTCTAAATGAAATTTTGTAACATTGGGTTTAATTTTTAAGGCTTTCAGTCTCATCCCTGTGAAGCCAGAACCCAGTTTCCAGGACCTTTCAGCTTCCTCCTTTTATAGGCCACTCGTGTTATTATTATTATTTTTTGCAAGTTTTTGGACCAGTATTTCTCAACCTTGGCAACTTTAAGATGTGTGGATTTCAACTCCCAGGATTCTGGGAGTTGAAACCTGGGAGTTGAGGTCCCCATATCTTAAAATTTACAAGGTTAAGAAACACCAGTTTAGACTTCCCCTCTCTGCACCTAGGAGGTAATTACCATCTACAAAGGCAAGAAATAGGATCTTCCCCTTTTATTCCAGACCTTCCCTGACTGCCTGGCTTTTTTAATACCATGATTAGAGGGTTTTTCCAGCGTCACCACGCCCTGCTCTGAGGCAGTGGGACTCTGTTCTAACAATAAAACTGTTTTGCTGGCAGAGAAAGCAAAGGAATAATCCCACCCCCACCCCACCCACCCCTGCCAGAGGCAAAAAGAAAAACCCTCCAAGAAAAGGCAGGTTCCATTCCTCTCCTCTTTTGCTCTTGTGGGAGGGTTTCAGATTTGGAAAGGATGCATCTGGGCTCTGTTTAACACAGAGGTCTCCAAATGGCAACTTTAAGACTTGTGGACTTCAGCTCCCAGAATTCTAATTCTGGGAGTTGAAGCCCACAAGTCTTAAAGTTGCCAAGTTTGGGGACAGACGAACACTGTACAGCCTGATGATGGCAGATGAGATTCTGCCGAAACATTGCTACAACTTTCTGTCTGTCTGTCTGTCTGTCTTTCTGTCTGTCTGTCTGTCTGTCTGTCTGTCTGTCTATCTATCTATCTATCTATCTATCTATCTATCTATCTATCTATCTATCTATCTATCTATCTATCTATCTATCTATCTAATCTGTCCTCTTATCTATCCATCCATCCATCTCTCTCTGTCTCTCTCCGTTTCTTATCTGTCTATATCTCTATCTACCTACCTACCTACCTATCTATCTATCTATCTATCTATTTATCACACCTTGGGACCAATTAATGATGTTAGATCAGTTTCTTGAGTATCTCAAACTTGGGAGCTTTAAACTATGCGGGATTCAACATCCAGAATTCCCCAGCCAGCAATTCTGGGAGTTGAGGTCCACCACGGTGGTGGGAATCACCAAAATCACCAATCAGCCAATCAGCTAAGAGGATCCTGCACTTTTCTCTTCTTTCTTCATTCAGCTGATCGTCAGAACTTATAGATTTCTTATATGTATCCATGTATTCATAACTATGTTTTTACTTATGCCTATTATCTTGTAAGCAATTGACAAATAAAAAATAAAATAAAAAAATAAGTAAAAACATAGTTATGAATACATGGATACATATAAAAAAAATAAAAGAAAATAAAAGAAACAATAGGACAGGGACGGTAGGCACGTTGGTGCGCTTATGCACGCCCCCTACAGACCTCTTAGGAAAGGGGTGAGGTCAATAGTAGAAAGTCTAAGATCTAACAGAGCTGCAGAGCTTAATATAGAGCTACGCCTAGGCTACTTCTAGTTTCAGTTTCTAAACTGTCCTCATTGGCTGATTTAGTTGCTATGCCTATTCATTGGCTGACCTTGTTACCATGCTCTGTTCCAGTTCATGAATATACCCTGACAAGCTGCACATGAGTCCATGTCTCCAGAGGGAGAAGAACGGGCCCCTTTTGCTGCAATCTCCGTCTTGACCTCTGGATATTTCTTGTTGCTTAGCAGGATGTGTGATGCAGGGGAAGGGCTGTACACCTTCCAGACCCAGGAGGGCGAAGAGATCTATCAGAGAGTGCACAGCGCCACCTTAGCCATTGCCGAGCAGCACAAGCGCGTCCTGATGGAGATGGAGAAGAACGTGAGAGTGAGTGTCCATTCCTGCCGGTGGAGGGGAAGGCTGATATTTTTGGGCTTCTGAGCCATCTGTTTGTTGGGCATCTTCCAAAAACACCTTGGGATCAATTAATGATGTTTAGATCAGTTTCTTGAGTTTCTCAAACTTGGGAGCTTTAAACTATGTGGACTTCAGCTCCCTAGCAATTTTAAACTATGTGGGATTCAACATCCAGAATTCCCCAGCCAGCAATTCTGGGAGTTGAGGTCCACCACGGTGGTGGGATTCTACCAGTTTCCCTACCGGTTTGGTGATCATGCGCTTCGCGTGTATGCGCACCTAACGCAGGCCCATGCAGCTTTCCAAACACTAGCTGAGGCTCTGCCAATCAGCTAAGAGGATCCTGCACTTTTCTTTCTTCATTCAGCTGATCGTTGGAGCTTTATTTTTTACTACCGGTTCAGGTGAACCAGGCCAAACCGGTAGCATTTCACCACCAGCTTAAGAAACACTGAGTTTTTTCTCTTCCCTGCTGGTTTTGGGAATTCGGAAAGTGGTAGAAGGTTGTTCTTTAGAGATGGGAAGTCATCCATCTCTTGCAAAACCGAGCTGTATAAATCCTGCCTACAGCTCACAGGAGGAGTGGAAAAGGGAGGTAGGGAGTCTGAGCCGGCAGGAAGTTGATTCTTGAGACCTCACGCAAAAAGGTATTTAAAGGCCAGTGTCTCTGACAGACGAACACAACTCAGAACACACTGACGATGTCTCCTCGAATGGTGACAAAACATTTTGCAACCAAATTGCCAAACTCAGCCCAACAGCCCAGCTACCAACCCAAGCTACTACTATTCAAACATATTTCAACCTCTTTAAAGCATCGGAGAGACGCGAAGGGTCATTTGTCTCACTCTATTATTTTGTAACCTTAGAAAATTTAAACTGGTGGACTTCAACTTCCAGAACTCCCCAGCCAGCCATGCTGAAGAGTTGAAGTCCACACATCTTAAAATTGCCAAGGTTGAAAAACTGGTCTAACATCATTAATTGATATAACTATCTTAACTCACCTGTCGTGCCAAACATCAGCAATTAGAATCAATGGTGGGATTCAAAAATTTTTACTACCAGTTATGTGGGCGTGGCTTGGTGGGCGTGACAGGGGAAGGATACTGTAAAATCCCCCTTCCCTCCCCACCCCGCTAACCTGCTTTCCAGCTCTGTTCTCCTGTGCGGGGCAACCAAAGGAGACCCAGCCGTTCAGCTGGGACTCGATGGGAGGCAGAGAAGAGATGGGGTTGGCGGGGCCAGTCAGAGGTGGGATTTGCCGGTTCTCCAAACTACTCAAAATTTCCGCTACCGGTTCTCCAGAACCGGTCAGAACCTGCTGAATACCACCTCTGAATTAGATGGTCATATGGAATGGAGAAATTGAGTAACTACATTAGATTGACTTTGTTTAGGGTTTATTTTTTTATCAAGTGGTTTTGGACCCTGTTTGTGGACTCCAAGGAGTGAGGTTGTGGTTATGATGTCACTACAGTGGGTAAAGGACGTGTTTGGCCTTGAGTGTTACGGGGAGTTAAAGGGGGAGGTAAGTGTCTCAGCTCCACCCCAGAGCAAAAAAAAAAAAAAAAAAACAGAATTATTTTGGAGTTGTACACAGCCCTTGAGCCTAGATTAAGGCACTATAAAAACCAAACACTGCCATTATCTGAAACCCTGCCTTTTATCAGGATTGTCCACATTAGTGGTGCCTTTATCTCTTTATAGCCACACTGTTTGGGGGTAACATTCCTTGAAAAGGTTTCCAAAACACCGATTGTAGCAAGCAAGAAGACCATCAAAGAAGGATTTTGTCAATGAAGATTGTTCTGGCTCTTTGGGTGGATTGCCAACCTACTGTCCACCAACCTGGTCTGATCTCCCCTTGTCTCTCACAGCTTGGGGGGGTTGTTGATCCAAAGTGAGATGGTATTATGCTTGCTTTTGTTTTTTAGACCGATGCTTTCCCAAGGGGAATATGAAAACCAAAAACCCATGCAGTTATTGAGAAAGGGGGACGTTTCATGAGATTACATGGGATGGCATCAATGCAGCTTCTGTAGACTTTTTTTTTTTAAATACATTTTATTAAGTTTTCAAATGTTAAAAACATAAAACTTTTGTTGTTCAGCAACTTTAAGATGAGCTCCTACCTTGCTAGGGGATTCTGGGAGTTGGCGTCCATCCATCTCAAAGGTGCCAACAGAGCATGCAGGAGAGCAATGCCTTTTGGCTGCTGGTTGGGGAATGAAGGAAAAACAGCTGTTTTGACCACTTTTTAATTCAATTAAATTAGTTTTCTAAAGGAAAAACCTCCTGCGACGTGCCAGCTTCCCAAAGCCAGCAGGGACCAGAAGAAACTGAATGTTTCTTAACCATAACAGCTTTAAACAATGTGGACTTCAACTCCCAGAACTCTCCAGCCAATTCTGGGAGTTGAACTCCACGTAGTTTGAAGTTTCCAAATTTGAGAAGCTTGAGAAACTGGACTCATGTCATTAAGGTTGACTCAGTCTTCCATCCTTTGGTAAAACGAGGACCCAGATTGTTGGGGGCAATAATGCTGACTCTGTAAACCACTTAGAGATGGCTCTAAAGCACTGTGAAATGGTATATAAGTCTAGGTGCTATTACGATTGCTACTAATAAAGTGGCCCCTTTGTGGCAGACCAACAGAAATAGGCAAGACTCCTTCAAGAGAACTCTGAAGTATTTTAACATGGATTCTTTGCCCCATTGTACAGAGCCCTTTTGTTGAATGCTGCAGATTCATTCATTCATTCATTTTCATTCATTCATTCATTTTCATTCATCCATCCATCCATCCATTCATTCATTCATTCAATTTCTATGGCCGTCCATCTCAGTCAATGACTCAGGGCATCTTACAGCTCAGAAAATCTATTCCAATAAAAAATTTAAAGACCCATTTAAAAAAATAAAACCAGTTTAAAAAAACAACAACCCTTAAAACAATTCAGATTTTGGAAGCTCACCTCCTGCTCTTTCTACTTTTCCAGTTGTTGAACAAGGGGACAGAGCATTATTCCTATCCTTGCACACCTACCACCATGCTGCCACGCAGTGCTTACTGGCATCATATCACCGGCTCACAGAACATCGCCGAGTCTTCCAGCTATGGGGGTGAGTGCGCATCTTCTTCCATTCAACGGGGATAGTTTCAAGATCATGTGAAGTGATAGTAATACTTTGTGATGACCCAGGGTGGGATACAAAAGCAACAAAGTCACAAAAACAGGTGAAGTCCCTTTAATTCCTTCAACTTGGCTTCAAAGGTCCAATTATCATTGACTGGAGAAAAAACTCCCCCACAAACAGTTGCGAAAAGGAAGAAATGCCATTCAAACTCAAAATACATATAAATTATAAATAGAAAAAACAACACAAACCACACTGAAGCAATTACTGAGACAAGGCAGGATAAGAGCTTGAATATGTCCACAGATATCAAAATACACACACTGGGAAGGACACCAAACTCAGATAAGAACTGAAAGACTAGAATTATTTCATGCTTTGTTTCCAGCACTGGGCCATGCGCAGTTTGTCCTTTTAAACAGTCCTCACAGCTGCAGCCCATGAAGGGGATCAGGTCCCTTTCCTCCCCCATAGACCACACCATTCACGTTTCTCCCTTATCCACTCCTCCTCTCATGCCCTAGGATAAAGAAGGGATGGGTTTGGGTCTTCCTCTGAATGCCCAGCCGGCCTGTGCCCTTCCCCAGTTTCCTCCACAACCTCTGGAGCCACACTTCCAGTGGTTGGATTCTACCGGTTCTGTCCGGCTCTGTAGAACCGGTAGCTCTGAAGAGCAGGAGACATAGAACCAGTTCTATGTATGCTGCTGTTTCGGCCCACACACCCACCCGGGCTCTTACTTGACCTTTATTTCCTGCGTTTTCAACCTCAGCTGCTTTGCGCGGCACAGCTGCGGTTGAAAAAGCAGGGAAAAAGTGCTTTTACAACCGCTGTTCACCCGCGCACAGTGCTGCTCAGCTCTCCAGGCAGCAAGCTGATGATGATTCACACGCATGCACAGCGCGCGTCAGGTGCACATGCGCATGCAAATTGTAAATCACCGAACCAGTAGTTAAACCAGTCGGATCCCACCCCTGCACACTTCCACTCCCTGTCGGCTGTTCCTCCTCTCCCTCGGAGTCAGACTCCCACAGTGGCATGACACACTTTCTACTGCACTGGTGAGGCCCCACTTGGAGTATTGGATTCAGTTCTGGTCACTGCGATACAAAATAGGTATTGAGAATCTACAGAAAGAGTGCAGAGAAGAGCAACAAAGATGATTAGGGTCCTGGAGGCTAAAACATATGAAGAACCGTTGCAGGAATTGGGTATGTCTAGTCTAGTGAAAAGAAGGACTAGGGGTAACATGTGAGCAGTCTTCCAATATTTGAGGGGCTGCCACAAAGGAGGGGGTCAAATTATGCTCCAAAACACAAGAAGGCAAGAAAAGAAACAATGGATGGAAACTAATCAAGGAGAGAAGCAACCTAGAACTAAGGAGAAACTGCCTAACAGTGAGGACAATTAACCAGTGGAACAGCTTGCCACCAGAAATCATGGGCGCTTCATTGCTGGAGGTTTATAAGAAGAGACTGGACAGCCACTTGACTGAAAATGTATAGAGCCTCCTGCTCATGTAGCGTGTTGGACTAGAAGATCTCCAAAATCCCTTCCATCTCTGGTGTTCTGTTCTTTGACTGCTCTTGCATCCTTTTGAACGTGAAACGCTTTTTCTGGATTGTACACTGCTAAATATAAGCAAGCTGACAGGACAGCTCTAATTTAAAGCAACATTGAGATGATATTCTGAAGTCAATCATTCAGCAGGCTGTGTTCCATCCGCATATTGATGTACCGGGGCTCAGTCCAAATAGAGTTAGGCACTTTTAAACACTATTGATTTCCAGAGAGCATCTTTCCATTTTGTCTCTGGAGCTAGGAAAGCAAAGCTCCATTGTGTCTGGATCCTGTCCAGTGAATTCATTTATTTGAAATGCTCCTTCATTCAGAGTCGTTCTCTATCTTGGCGATCGATTCCTCTGTTGTAAGAATTTGTGAAGTTCTTTCTGATGGCTTCACTAAAGCTCCCAAGGGGAATGATGTAGATATTTATAATATTCAAATGTAAGAGCAAAGAATCCAAGGTTGCCGATATAGGACAATAGTTAATAGTGGCCATAATAAAGCAGTTATAAAAGAATTCGCAACAGCAGTAGGAACAATCAGTTTTACGTATAATTTAAACTATTAAATTGGATTATTCAATTACATTAAATTAGGGGGCGTAAGCTGCCTTGAGTTGCCACGGGTGAGGAGATGGCAATATAAATTTTCCAAAATAAATGAACAAATAACCTTAAACTTAAGGAGAGAAGTTCAAAAGTAATGATAGAAAGTATTACTTCACAGAAAGAGGTAGCTTGGAACCAACTTCCAACAGAGGCAGTGGGTCAGTCATCAATCACCAAGTTTAAAGTTGCTTGGGTTACATGTCCTGCCCTCTGACAGAAATGAAAAGTGAAATAAAATAAAAAAAATCAATAAAATATAAAACTAATAATTAAAAATAATAAATTAAGTAATTAAAAAAAACAAGTAAACTCAAAGGGCAGACTTAATGGACTACTGGTTTTTTTCCTCCCCTGCTATTAGTTTTCTATGTTTCTATATTTCTAAACTCTGAAGCTTCCTTGAATTTGAGCTGCTTGGTGACTTCATGGACATCCAGATATTCTTCTTGGCTACAGTGCAGAAGCCATTTGCCTTTAGCCTCTTCTGGGACTTCTTTCAAGTCTCCAGTCTCACTTCCACTTCTGAGATGTCCCATGTTCACCTTGAGTAGGACTAATCCTACCTAGCTTTCCAATTCAGGGAAAGCTGAGCAGGTGTTTTCATCTGCTGAGACCTAATATAAACGCCTAATTTATTTCTACTTAAAAGAGTTCTGAAAGGTGGGATATATTCTTATGCATATTTAGATCCGGGAGAGATAGGTTTGCCTAGAAACTTCCAAAGGATTTCATGGTGCTTCATTAACCTCACTGCCCTAGTTAAACCTGCCTTTTAACCTTTCAACCTGGATCTAGTCAAACCTGCCCATTAATCTTTGAACCTGAACCGGTCGCCGCAAACATGTCAAAACAATCCACAAGAGGAAGATCTGGAGAACTTGGCACATTCTGCTTGTTGAGCCTTGTTTGCCACAGGGATCGAAAGGTGATCTTCCAAAGACTTTAAAAAAAAAATTGTAAAGCAAAGCTGCAGCTTCTGAATCTGAAAAGGAAACCAGTACAGTATTGTAGAAGTCCATAGTCTAACAACAGCTCGCCAGAATCGGAGTGAGGAACCAAAAGGCTCACTAATGTTAAACAGCATTGTTTAAGCAGTGGTCTGATGCAAACCAAAGGCTTAGTTAGGTGCTCTATCCAGAATGGTTCCATCCAGGATCGGCTCCAATTCTAAAACAGAAGTAGACAATCCATTTCTTTTAAGAACTGGAATAACCTTTTGGAGATTTCTTGGCAGGGGTGAGGCTGAAGCCACTGGCCTCATGGCAGAAGCAGATAACTCTTATCAAGACCCGAAGAGCTTCCTTGCAAGGGGCATTTGAGATTCTCTTGGAGAAGAGAGGTAGCTGTGTGTTTGTGAGCTCTGAAAAAAATTAACAAAACAGGAAAAAATGCAAGGACACTTTTGAGTTGAGTTTCCAGTCTTGTTGACGTGATCCTTCTCCGTATTATTTTCCTGATGGCTCTACATAGTTGGCATCTTCTTGGTGGATGTTTTTTCTACTTCTCCACCAGCTGTGGGGCTATTTATTTGCCATTCTAACTGGTCCCAATCCTGCTTCGGAGCTCAAATAAAGTCAATCAAGTACTGGAATTGCTAACGTGGCAGTTCAGAAGACCTGCTTTTAAGCAGATGTCATGAACAGACAAAGTTCTTTTGGGTTCTTCCTTGGAATCTCTCTTCTCTCTATTTAGTTCCATGCCACTCCACTCCATTCTATTTTATGCTATGCTATTCTGTTCTTTCTGCATTTCAGCTCTCTCCTTTTGCATCATTAAGCCTTTGTGCTTCTGGAGGCTGAGTGATGTTGGAGTTCTCTGCTCACCCCCACATTCTTCAAGAATTATTTGAGTCCCCTTCCCTTGCTAGAGATGGACTGATGGTCCCTGGAGTTCTTGATTCCTCTGCAGGGGACAGCTTATCCCTAGGACTCAATTTCCTCTCTTCCAATATTGGCAGAGTGGGATAAATCTGCTTGCAAGAGAGCCACCGGTGACATCCTTCCCGCGCCTTCAAGAACAGAAGCGATTGCTGAAATCTGTTCAATGATTTGTCTATTCCAGCATTCAACTTTCCAGAAACAGATAGGCAGATGAATAATGGGAAGCTTCTAAACAGCACCTGGAGAGAAAAATCTTCTCCCCATCTTCAGTTTCCCAAACCTGATTGTAAGCAGTAGAACATTCTGGATTTGGGTCAAATGTGTCTGCAGGGTTTAATAAAAAAAACCTCAAGATGGCAGCCACATTCATGCAATCAGAATCCCACCCTTTTTAATGTGTGCCGCACGTGCAATTCACACACCCAAAAGGCAATATATCTTAACTTTCTAGCTTCTTTATAGACTCATATTGATTACATCATCACGGCCGCCATTTGTTATGACCTCACACTGGACACCTGGGTTGGAGACTCCATTTAGTTCTCATTGCTATCAGCCGCTTTGGGTGCAATCTTTTTTTTTTCTTTCAGAAAGAGGTACAGATAGTCTTCACCTTGTGGCCACAATTGGAACCAGAATTTCTGCTGCTAAGCAAGGCAGCTGCTAAGTGAATCATGCCCAAATTTTATAACTTGTTTTTGTCACAGGGAAGTGAATTGTGCTGCTGAATCTGGCTTTCCCCATTGACTATCCTGGAAGCCTGTCTCAAAAGGTCACAAATGGCAATCCCATGACCCTGGCACGCTACAGCAATCATCCATACGCAGAGCACAGAATCATGGGGTTGGAAGGGACCTCGAAGGTCTTCTAGTCCCACTCCTTGCCCAAAACAAAAGGCCTTATTCCATCCCAGACAAATGGCTGCCCAGTCTCTTCTTGAAGACCTCCGGGGATGGAGGGCCCTCACAACTTCTATTTTTCAAATTTTATTCCTTTTATTATATAAAATACAAAGAACAGAAAATAAAATAGGAAATGAAGGGAAGGAAAAGCAGTGGGGAAAAGGGGGTGCGAGCTACAAGCACCCACAACTTCTGAAGGAACTCATTCCACTGATTAATAGTTCTCACTGTGAGGAAATTTCTCCTTCGTTTCCTCCAAGAAGGACTTCTTTTTAACAACGTATCCAAGTGCCCAAATTTTCATCACTTGACTATGGGGATTCTGCAATGGTCATAAGTGTGAGAACCAGTCATAAGTCATTTTTCAGTCCTGATATAACTATGAATGGTCATTAAACAAATGGTTTTAAGTCGAGGACTGTATAGACTGGGAGCAACTTCTTCGTAGTTACTTTAAGATCAAAGGACCATCTAAGAAAAGGCGACTTCCCTATAGAAGATTCTCGGAGTGGATGTGGAGAACAATCCATCTCACGTATACTGCAGTGCATACGATGTCAGAATGTTAGAACAGAATAGACCTGGATGGGACTTTAGAGGTCTTCTAGTCCAGCCCCCTGCTCAAGCAGAAGAACCTCTACCATCTCAGACAAGTGACCGTCCAGTCTCTTCTTAAAAACCTCCAGGGATGGAGTGCCCACAGAAGGTCCTTCAATATGCATGGAGGCAGACCTCATGGTGGCCAGGGGAAATGAGCTGACATGGCCAAATCCTGGGCAAATGTCATATGCAGGTCGTCCTTGACAACCTTACAACCACAATTGAACCTAACATTTCTGCTCTTAAGTGAGACATTTGTTAAGTGAATTTTTCCCCATTTTATGACCTTTCTTGCCTCAGTTGTTAAGCGAATCACTGCAGGGATAAGTTAGTAACCCAGTTATTAAGTGAACCTGGCTTTCGCCATTGACTTTGCTTGTCAGAAGGTCACGAGACCCCAGGACACTGCAACGGTCATAAATATGAGCCACTTGCCAAGCATCTGAATTTTGACCATGTGACCATGGGGATGTTACAGAGGTCGTAAATGTAAAAAATGGACATAAGTCACTTTGTTTAGTGCCATTGTAACTTTGAACGGTCACTACATGAACTGTGGTAAGCCAAAGACTTCCTGTCATTTTAATGATCCTATTTTATCTGCATCCTTTTTACCCTTGCTGTATTTTTATGAGCTGTTTTATACCTACTTTGTTTGCTCAGTGTTGAATGTTATAGGTCCATAATTGGTAGGTGCCTCTGATACGAAAGAACTCGGCTCTTGAACCAGACAAAATCTCTAGTCTAATGAAAAAGTTTAGTGAAGAGAAGGACCAGGGTGAGACATGATAGCATCTTCCAGTATTTGAGGGGCTGCCCCAGAGAGGAGGAAGGGGGTCAAGCTATTTTCCAAGTCACCCAAAGGCCAGACAATGGATGGAAACTGAACAAGGAGAGATTCAACCTGGAAATAAGGAGGAATTTTCTGACAGTGAGAACAATCAACCCATGGAACAGAAGTTGCCTTTGGAAGTTGTGGGAGCTTCATCACTGGAGGCTTTCAAGAAGAGACTGGACTGCCATCTGTCAGAAATGGTGTAGGGTGTCCTGCTTGGGTGGGGGGTTGGACTGGATGACCTACAAGGTCCCTTCAAATTCTGTTAATTTGTTAAAAATATGTTGTGGGAAAGTGTCCCCAAAGCAAGTTTATTTCCCCCCCTTTGAGCTGGGAGCTGACTCAAAACCTACCCAGAGAAGAAACCAACCTTTGTAAATAGATGTTGGGGTTATAGAGGCAACATTTCTATATAACTTAAGTCACAGTCATCCGTAGGGCCCCTATATTATTTTTTCATCATAAGATTGCAACTTCAGCTTTCAAACAGGAACCATTCCAGTGACAGAGGCTTGACTTTTCAACCAAAGCGAAAAACAAAAAGTAGAATAGGGTCAACACACCTCAAGGACGTAAGCAATTGGATACAGTCCTTAGTATATTCCATATTAGTATATTTAGCTTGCCTTCAGAAGTTGTGGGAGCTTCATCCCTGGAAGCTTTCAAGAAGAGAGTGGACTACCCTCTGTCAGAAATGGCGTAGGGTCTCCGGCTTGGGCAGGGGGTTGGACTAGATGACCTACAAGATCCCTTCCAACTCTGATTACCTGTAATCTCTTCTTTCTGCCCACAGGTGACACCTACTCTGGTCCCCAGGCCAGCTCAGAGACTGACCTCCTGAACCGCCTAATCTTACTGAAGCCAAACTCTTCCAAGAGTGGGAAAAGCGACGGCAAAGACCCCACCTCGGCTACCCAATGAGGCCACTCAATACCGAGCGAGGAAAACTGTTGGGGTGCCAAGAAACCGAGGAAATTTTTTTTTTCCCCACCTGCTCCTGCTCTTCCACGAAAGGCCCAAGGGATGACATTTTGCTGCAGGGAAAGAGTTCGAGGCCCAGGAGCTGTGGACAATGAGCCTGGCTTGGCCCCGGATTGTCAGCAGGCATCCAGATCTTCTGCAAAGGACGAGCTATATATTATTACAACTATTTTCAATATATCGTATTGTTTATGCATATCCTATATATCCAAGAGAGAGTTGAGGGGGGGTGGTCTCCCCTGAAGGCACATCTCTTGGCCATCAAGGCCAGAATATTTTAGACCGTCGGAGGGAGGGCTCGGCCCCAGGGAGGGGGTGTGTGTGTGTTTGTCTTCCTTTCTCACGTGGGGGGGGGGGGGGACAGCACCTTGGACAGGGCCTGGGCTGACGTCTTCTTCCCACGTCACTTGGGAGCCGAAGGAGGTCCCCCCCCGAAGGGTTATGGGGCTGGAAGAGGGGCGGCCAGCCCAGGTTTTCCTAAACAGCCTCATTCCTTCTGCCGATCCATGCTGCAGACCCCAACCAGGTCTTTGGGAGGCCCCCCAAAGAAACCTGTTTTTTTTTTCGGCACAGCGACCCTGCAGGGGAGAGCGGAGCAACAAAAGACACCTCCAATCCTTGGGGACTTCTGCCTGCCCTCCTCGGAAACGCAGCTTGCTCCCCAGTGCTTCCCCAACACCGAGGCTTCGGCCTTGCCTGGAGAAGCCAGCTTTCTCTCCCCCCCCCCTCAGTAACAGTAGCACAAGTTCCTTTCTGGCTGTGCTCTCTCCGTGGGGCTGCCAGCTCAGGACAAGAGTGGGATGCGGGGGGGGGCTTGAGGCCTTGGTTCTGTTTGCTGTGCCCAGAAGCTGGCTCTACTTGGGGCTATTTGGGGACAGATCGTGAGCTGCGAGGGGTGGGCTGGATGGCCTTCCTTTTCGAACACGGGTGCTCTATTGGAGGTCTGTTCGCACAAGGGCACAGACCCCGGCTGTTCCCGAAGGGAAGAGATATTGACTGGGTTTCGCCACAGGCCTCCTTTGATTGGGGCTCGGCGTGTGGGGCGAACCCAGCCACTGTGGTTTGCCAAGCGGGGTTTATAGCTTAGCAGGTACACTCAGTCCCATGTGGCTTACTCAACCAACTGTGGCTCATGCCAACCATTGCCTCAGCACAATGCAGACGCCGGTGATGGCAAAAGGGGAAGCAGCTTGAGGTGGCTTCATTGGGTTGTTGGAAGATTTCTTTTACATTCCAGTTGGAAAGTTTTGCCCCTCCTCAAGTCTATCTCCTACCTCTACTCCCCCCCAACAAACAACCCCCAAGGCCTGGCCAAGCTTCTGGCAGGGGTCAGTGGCTGACCACTTCCTCCTTTCTCTGTCCTCGAAGCCGAACAAGCTGTGGGACCACTGGTCAGTCCCAACCTTCTTTTGATTGGCAGGAGACAATCAGTTGCTTGCTTCCAGAAGGTTCCCCCCTATTCCAATTCCCAGCTTCTTCTCCTCTTCTTGGACAGTTGAAAAGGTTGTCCACTTTTAGCCTGGCACCTTGACCATGGCTTGGCCTTCAGGCAGAAGCACAGTGGAGGAAGGGTCTTCCGGGGCTCTGAGGGACTCTGTTGAAGGAACCTCTCGACTTTCCTTCTTCAAAAAGGCTCTCCTGAGAATGCAGCCCCATCTTCTCCCCACCTCCCACCTCCCTCCCTCCTTTCCCAGTAGTTAGTCAAGGCAGTCTTCTTCAAGCTGGTGACCTCTGGATGTACCACTCCAAATCCCATAATCGCTGCCCCGTACTGCCAAGGGATCATGGAACAGAAGTTGCCCTCGGAAGTTGTGGGAGCGCCATCACTTGAGACTTAGAAGAGATTGGACTGCCATCTGTCAGGAATGTGGTGTAGGGTCTCTTGCTTGGGCAGCGGGTTGGACTAGATGACCTATAAGGTCCCTTCCAACTCTGATGATCTGTTATCTGATGTGATTGGATGCCCTGGGAGATTCGGAGGCTACCAGCTTAGGAAGGGCCATCTTGGGGGGAAAAATGCTTCCATGGAGCACCTGGATTTCCTATGCTGAACTTTTTTTAAACAAAAAGCAATTGGTTTTTCTAGTTTTACTATTTATTGAATAACTTTTAGAAGGGCTATCTTTTTATAGTCGTACAATTGGTAGTGTTTGTTTTTGTGTTCTTTCCTTTGTTCCTTATTTTTTTCCTCTCAATCATTGCTGGAGATATTTGTTCCCTCTCTTGTGCTCTCTGTATGTGTAAATAACCATGTTTTGGATCCTGTGTGTTGAGAGAAGGGAGACGTTTCCAAGCCAGGAGAGAGAAAACAGTGGGAATGAACCGAGAGGATCAGCTGATGTTCTAGCTCAGCTCCCAAGTCCAGTTGAAGTCTATTTTAACGCCAGTGTATTGGGGGGGTGGGGGGAGGAAGGGAAACGAGACCACGGACTGCGAAAAGCACCCAAATGTTTTGTAACTGATGATTTCCCCCAGAATCCCTTTGCTCTTCTTCCCAAGGCCATCTGCAAAAAACAGAAACACAATTCTGAGCCTGAGATTAAATTAGCCACAGCCTCACCACTGCTTCAGAGTTGCCTCTTACAATTTCTTTCGTGAAGGGGGGGCACGGAAGGGGTCTCAAAACACAGCAGAATTGTGGGTGCAAATTTGGAGCCTGGGGTTCAAGGCTGGAGGTGGGCAGGGATTGATCTTTGCAATGCTCCTGGTTTCAAATGTTTTCTGCTCTGAACCTTAGCCAATTTTTAAGGGGTGCAGACTTCAACTCCCAGAATTCCCCAGCCAGCATGGGGTTGACCCGTGTTTGAATCTACACACCTGAAAACTGCTAAGATTGACAAATACTGGACTAGCAAGGGAGGGGGAACAAATGACCATCCAGATGTTGCCAAGGTACACACTACAGCATCCCTCCTGTCAGGTCTCAAGAACAAGAAAACACACATGGGAGTTACTTAAAAGTGGCTTCCTTTATTGTTCCTCACCTATAGACAGGATCTTGCCAGAGAGCAGCAACTATTTGCAGAATTACATATCTACTCTGGGAAAAGCTAGAGGAGCTACTTTAACCCTCTTCCTCCTAAGCAAATTATCTAACCTTCACTGCCTCATTGCCCTCTAGAAAGCAGCCCCTCCCTCCTGGGAATCCAGACTACATTCCACCACAGTGCCCCACTGGCCATTCCATCAAGGCTATGGAGACTTGATGTGAAGGGCCATGTCTCTTGGCTTTTCTCCATTGAAGAGCGGTGGCCAGTCGTCTTTCCAGCAGAAGAGAACATCTGGTGATGGGGAAGATCAGCCTCCAGCGTCTATTTTACGCCCCGCCAGTGAGGAGGGCAAGGCACCTAATCCAGATTAGCAATTTGTTAGTGCTTAAGAAAGAGGAAACATTTTTCAGCCAGGGAGTGCTAAGTGTGCAATGCAGCCATCAAGTTGGCACAAAAGGTGAAACAGATGCTTAAGAGAAAAACTGAGGTAGACGAAGCTGAGCTGGGGTTAGTTGAGGCACAGGTTGGCTTTGCCAAAAAACAATGTTTTGGTTGCTTTTGGTGTTTTGTTTTTTTTAATGGAATTGCTCAATCAATAGTCATGAGCTACGGTGGCACAGTGGTTAAAATGCAGCATTGCAGGCTAATTCTGCTGACTGCCAAGAATTCAATCTTCACCAGCTCAAGGTTGACTCAGCCCTCCATCCTTCCAAGATCAGTAAAATGAGGACCCAGATTGTTGGCGTCAATATGCTGATTCTGCAAACCATTTAAGAGGAGCTGTAAAGCACTGTGAAGATCTAAGTGAAATTGCTATTGCTGTTATGGCTGTTCCCATCTGACTATTTCTTGATCAAAATAATAAGTTGCTGAAACTCTAGAAAGAGTGCAGAGAAGAGCAACCAAGATGGTTAGGAGACTGGAGGCTAAAACATATGAAGAACAGTTGCTGGAACTGGGTATGTCTACTTTAATGAAATGAAGGACTAGGGGTGATGTGATATCAGTCTTCCAGTATCTCAGGGTCTGCCCCAGAGAAGAGGGAGTCAAGCTATTCTCCAAAGCACCTGGGGAAAGGACAAGAAGCAATGGGTGGAAACTAATCCAGGAGAGAAGCAACCTAGAACTTAAGGATAAATTTCCTGGCAGTTAGAACAATTCACCAGTGGAATGGCTTGCCTTCAGAAGTTTTGATTTCTAAGAAGAGACTGGACACACTTATCTGAAATGTTACAAGGTTTCCTGCTTGAGCAGGGGGTTGGACTAGAAGACCTCCAAGGTCCCTTCCAACTCTTAATTCTGTTCTGTACAGACTGAAAACCCAACCAGTCAAAACAAAAACTCACAAAATCGCCCTCAATTTATGATACGGGTAAAGGAACTTGGAAAATCCGTTTTTGAAGCTAACAACGTTGCCAATACAGCAACTCACATTCTTCAAAATATTCCCCAAAGTAAAATGAGCCATAAATCATCCTATTAAACACTAGCATATTTACCTTTATCCACTTAATATTGTAAGGTTGAATTCTTCGTGTAAAAAAGCAATCACCTTAGGGCCCAAACAACCTTTTGAATAATTATGGACACAGGCATTTTTCATCTGTTCTAAAATTCTTCACCATGTAAGCAAACTGAAGCTTATTTGAATTACAGACCAGAACCAGAAATGCTTGGCAATTTTTAAACAAGCTTGGGGTTCCTTTATCCTGGCTCAAATCCATTTAGTAAAAAGAGCAGAAATGCAGAGCTGAATTTTATGTAGTACTTATTGAGAAACCCTATTGTGGAGTAAGATTAATTACATTTATTCTGGAGTAAGCTTAATTACATTTCTAATGGACAGAAGCCCAGGAATAATTGTGAGGATTTTTCTAGAGGAAAATCAAAGATTTATCAGCCTTCCCACATTCCCAGTGATTCCCATGGAAGATTCTTCCATATCCAGGATTTAACATTTTCAGTCCCACAAAAACCCCTCCCAATATTTAAAGACTTGGTCTGAACAATAACTGTTCTGTTGCAAGCTGAGATCCAACACCCAAGAAACGCAGGAATTCAATTGAAAGGGTACATTTGGGCTGAAATTGAACAGAATCCAGGAAATTACTCTGATTAACCAATTCTGTGTAAACTACCTTCTCTAAATGTCTATGGAGATTTTTCAATCATCCAGGTCATTGTTGTCCCAAAGATGCTTTTTCCAAAAGACGACTGACTTTCTAGGTATTTTGTCTGAAAACGTTTCACTTTTCATCCAAGCAGATCCACAATGTTTTCAAAGAAAATACCACTGAAAGTCAAGTTGCCTTTTGGAAAAAGCACCTCTGGGACAACCACGACTGATTGAGAATCTCCATAGGATCTCTCTCCATAGACAAATACTTTCATTAAACAGAACTGAAGGGGAACTGTTCATTTTTCCAGGAAGCCATTTAATCAAAGATCTGTGAATCAACCTAACCAGAAATGGCCACTGGTGGAAATGTTTGTATTTCCAGAATTCAGGAAGCCCTCAAGTTACCACCACAATTGAACCCAAAAGTTATGTTGCTATGTGAAACATTTAAGGGAGTTTTGCCCCATTTTATGACCCTTCTTGCCACAGTTGTTAAGTGAATCACTGCAGTTGATAAGTTACTAACAGAGTTATTAAGTGAACCCCGGATTCCCCACGGTCTTTGCTTGTCAGAAGGTTGCAAAAGCGCATCCCTTCATCCCAGGATTCTGCTACCATCATAAATATGAGCCAGTGGCCAAGCGTGAGGATTTTGACCAAGTGACCATAGGAATGCTGGAATGGTCGTAAGTGTGAAAAACGGTCATAAGTCACTTTTTTCTGTGCCGTAACTTTGAACGGACAATAAATGAACTGTTGTAAGTCGAGGACTACTTCACTTCTCTGCAAGGACCTATATATTCCTGCACACCTCTTGTGGTGTTGCTCTACAGGAACAGTAAACAGTAACACAGAAAAATGCTCACTATTTTTAATGAACATACAGACGTGTCCAAACGTACAGGAAAATATATATTCACAAGAGTGCCATAAATACACTGTCAACAAACAGGTTTTAAACTGAGAAATGCTGCCATTGGTGCTGGTAGATAATTTAGACAATTCCACAAATACAACGTAAGTCTGTTTATGGCTAAGACTCACCAAGATGTCCAGGTGGAGAAAATGAAAAGAGGGGTGTTCTAAAAGAATTTTGAACCCCAAATACTTCTATCACCCTTCTGTCATTTTTTTTTTCAAACTAAACCCGTTTTTGGTTAAAAACAGAATTTAATTTTTTTAGGTTGCTGTTGGTCAAATTGAGCTTCAGGGTGGTCAGCGATTCCATATGCTCCCCACACCCAAAAAGCCAAGATGGTTTACATCAGACATGATGTAAAAATGAACTGGTGTGTTCGTTTTAACGGTGGTACAGAATAAGCGACAGTTTCACAATCTTGTGACGAGATTTTCAGGACACCGTTTCTTCGCTAGTCTCAGAAGAGATGCTCAAATGCTCCTAACTAATGGCTAATTGCTTCATCGACGCTGGTTGAGGCCGCTGAGATTCTTGAACTGTCAGATACAAAAACAATAAAACGTTTTTTTTAAAAAATATATAGTGGGGGAGACCATGAGAAAGTTAGAAGCTGCAAGCATGCAAAATAGGATACTGCTAAGTCATTTCGTGACAGGGATCTTCCCAAGCAGTGATTTTTAAACAGGGCTTATTGAATGTTGATCCAAGCAACACTGCTTAAAACCATCTATTTGTCAAAACTAGGTCTGGAATCCCAGTTCAAAGGGGATGC